CATTCTAGCTCTACAGATGCTCATCCACACTGCTTAGCTGTTGGCTCAGATCCTGGGAGAGTCTATTATCCCTCAGTTACTTCCCTCTAAGATAGATCTGTTGTAAAGAGTGCTATCCCTAGCATGCATGGACAGGAGCCAGCTAATGCTCAGTAATCATTGGGATTACAGTCTCTTCTGCAGTCCAAAGAGATATATTCGCTTCTTTATTTGTTTTTCCAGTTAAGAGTGTTGAAAATAAGGCGGGAGCTGTATTGAAGCTTACTTGGATGTTCTTCTGTATGAAATTAAAGTTTTTTTGAGCATTTCTTAAAATGTGAAGATCTATGAAGTGGGTGAAGGTGCAAGATAGAGGTGGAGAACCTATTGGACCGGAGGACCTAGGGGTTCTAATTGACAAGTGGCTGAATATGAGCCAGCAGTGTGCTCAGGTGGCCAAGAAAGCCAATGGCATCCTGGCTTGTATTAGAAACAGTGTGACCAGCAGAAGTAGAGAGGTGATTGTCCTCCTGTACTCAGCACTGGTGAGACCACACCTGGAGTATTGCATCCAGTTTTGAGCACCTCAATTCAAGAGAGATATTGAGGTGCTGGAGCGAGTACAGAGGACGGCAACGAAGCTGGTGAAGGGCCTAGAGAATCAATCTTACGAAGAACACTCGAAGGAGCTGGGAATGTTTAGTTTGAGAAAGAGGAGGCTGAGGGGAGACCTCATCAGTCTCTACAACTACCTGAAAGGTAGAGAGGTTGTAGAGAGGTTGGTGCTGGTCTCTTCTTGCAGGTAATTAGTGACAGAACAAGAGGGAATGGCTTCAAGCTGCAACAGGGTAGGTTTAGACTGGACATTAGAAAAAAAAAAAAATCACAGAAAGAGTGGTGAGGCGCTGGAATAGGCTGCCCAGGGAGGTGGTTGAGTCACCATCCCTGGATGTGTTTAAGAATGTGGTGTTAGTGGATATGGTTTAGGGAAGAACTTTGTAGAGTAGTGGTGATGGCTGGACTCAGTGATCTTTTTCAATCTGAATGGTTCTATGATTCTATGACCACACAGGGCAGGCTGTGCCAACATTAAGTCTTATCCACACTGGCTATTGAGTGGAGTTCCAGCAGTGAACTGAACCAAGAAAAACATTTACAATTTGTGCTGGAAAAAACTATTTGGTCTACTCCAAAGTCAATCCCAGTAGTAACATCCATTAATGAAACCTAGGTGAATA